ATATTATTTTACTAAATCTAACCTTTTGATATCATAAGTCTAACCTCACAGAGGTTAGATTTATGTTTAAACCATACACAATATCGATATATTTTGTCCTAATTTCTTCATGCTATATATAAGCTTTAATTTTCCTTAGAAAGCTTTTTAGGATAGCAAAAATAAATCTAACCCTAAATCTAACCTCTTGATACTGAAAATTGTTCTTGGTTTTAACGCTTTAGACCAAGTTCCTGATATACAAAATAAATCTAACCTTAAATCTAACCTCTTGGTATCGAAAATTGTCCTTGGTTTTAATGCTTTAGATTAAGTTCCAGATATACAAAATAAATTTAACCTTAAATTTAACCTCTTGATATCAAAATTGTCCTTGGTATTTAGTACTCTAGATTAAATTCCCAATATACAAAATAAATCTAACCTCTTGATATCGAAAATTGTCCTTGGTATTTAACACTCTAGATTAACTTTCTGATACACTATTTTCATGAACTTTTTCTTGTAACCTATTAACATACTGAATCATATAGTACCCTCTCTTATGCAATTTACATCGCCCACAAGCAGATCCAGTAGGCTTACCACAATCAGTACAAGGATATCGCTTCTTAGCTAAATAATAATGCTGACATCCTTTAGGCTGAGTACAAGCTTTGCTACAAACTTTTCCAGAGTTATGAAGATAATCGCAAGTATACTTTGCCAACATTTTATATATAACGAATAATATTTTTAAATTGAAAAAAAGTTTACACAGTATACAATGAATAAAAATTTTTAATTGAACAAAAGTTTACACAGTATATATAAAAACAAAATGCACATACCATAGTTAGAAAAGATAAAAAAAGTACAATTTGTGTATGCTGTAATAGTAGTCTTTCAACACTACAAAAACTTCGTCAGCATTATGCTAGTGATAAAAATCAATGTACTCAATTATCTACTCCTATTCAAGTACCTATCAATATTTCTGAATCAGTTCCATTGCAAGTATCTAATTTATTACCCAAGTTTAAAGCCCCATATTTGGTTACGAACTTGGAAGTGAATAGTATTCAAAAGCTTCCTCAGCAGAGTCATAATATATCAAGAAATTCAATTTTACCCAAGTGTACTAATGACAGAAAGCCAGGTAAAACTATAAAGCAATGGGGTTCAAGATTACGAAAAAGATATAAGGAACTATTTCATGAAAATTATGATCAACCACGAATTTTAAAAGCTTGTCAAGTTCTTTATGATACTTTATTACAAATAGATGAAG